GACACTGGACCACCCCCACCCCGGGGGACGGTGCCTGGCCCCTGCCTCACCACCTCCTGATATACAGCGGGCATTAGGCCGCCCAAAGGGGACACTGCATCCTTAGGAAGAAATATGTCCTCATTTTTCTTAAACACCGTTTCCACTGAGTGAAATGTTTAGAAGGGACGCGCAGGGAGAACTTTATTTCCTACCAGGGAGTGCAGAGCCACCAGGCAGAGCCCATAAAGCACCCAGAGCCTGGTCGCTGACAGGCCGCCCAGCCTCGAAACGCATTACTCACGGGCGGGAGGCCTGCCCGGCCCCTGGGGACGGCCCCCCACTGTCAGGACCAGCAGATCTGAGCCCTGAGCCCTGGTCCCCTGGAGCCCAGGGTTGGGGAAGGCCTGGCCCTGACCAGGCGAGGAGGTGGAGGCGTTTCAGCCACCCCAACACCCTGGTCCCCAGAGAGGAGGATGAGGGGCCCAGGTGCCGGAGCCCCTCACCCCGGAACTGGCAGGAGCCTGGCCTCCCAGCCTGTGCAGGGAGTGATGCGATTCCTGCCAGCACGGGCCCTTCTCCCGGGGCCCTCCCTTCACTGGATTTCTGAAGCTGGCTGATTTGAATATTTATAAATATCAGTAAATTATTTATTGTGGCAATCTGCTGCACCATTTTACCCATCGCAGTTAACACTTTAGGGGGCTCCGTGCTCTGGGAACCGGGCGTGGGGTGAGGAGGGGAGGACACGGAGGCCTGGGACTACCGGGAGCCCACCCAGTAGCTTCTCGGCGACATCCTGGCAGCCCCGGCACCTGGCTGAGCCCGGCCTTCGTGAACTCGGTATCCGCGTGGCTCCGGGATCAGTTTCCTCCCTTTCAGAGGGGACCGCGCCAGCACCTGCCACGCGGGCTCACCACGAGGCATCGGGAGCTAGTGGAGCTAGCACGGGCCCTTCTCCCGGGGCCCTCCCTTCACTGGATTTCTGAAGCTGGCTGATTTGAATATTTATAAATATCAGTAAATTATTTATTGTGGCAATCTGCTGCACCATTTTACCCATCGCAGTTAACACTTTAGGGGGCTCCGTGCTCTGGGAACCGGGCGTGGGGTGAGGAGGGGAGGACACGGAGGCCTGGGACTACCGGGAGCCCACCCAGTAGCTTCTCGGCGACATCCTGGCAGCCCCGGCACCTGGCTGAGCCCGGCCTTCGTGAACTCGGTATCCGCGTGGCTCCGGGATCAGTTTCCTCCCTTTCAGAGGGGACCGCGCCAGCACCTGCCACGCGGGCTCACCACGAGGCATCGGGAGCTAGTGGAGCTAGGAGCCCGGGAGGGAAGGTTCAGACCCCGGGAGCCGGGGAGCGGCCATTGGTCACTGAGCAGGCGCCTGCCCCAGCCCTGCTCTCTAGCCGCTCTTTCCTCCCCCACCTCTCCGGCCAGGTGAGGTGTCCTGGCCTCGGGATCTCGTGCCCAGGTGTGGCACCACACTGGCCTGTCATTCCCCTCCTAGGACTCGCCTGCCTTTCCCCAGGCCCTTGCTTGCCAGGCAGGCCCTGTGCTTGGCACCAACAGGCACCCTCTCCCCTTACAGTCCTGCAGCCCTTTCACGGGCAGGCAGCGTGCCCAGGGCCCGGAGCTAGCAAGGGGCCGAGCCAGGCTGTGAACTCACGGCTGTCTGGCCCCAGAGGCCAGGCCGTAACCACGGTGCTGTGCCCCCTCCCAGGGCTCGCCCGGCCACCGTCTCAGAGCCACGGGCCAGCGGCTGAGGCGGGAGGGCCCCCTC